GCGCGCGTGCGCGCCCTGCGCGCCCTGCGCGTGCGCGTGCGCGTGCGCGTGCGCGTGCGCGTGCGCGGGCGCGTGCGCGCGTGCGCGTGCGCGGGCGCGTGCGCGTGCGCGTGCGCGTGCGCGTGCGCGTGCGCGTGCGCGTGCGCGTGCGCGTGCGCGTGCGCGTGCGCGTGCGCGTGCGCGTGCGCGTGCGTGCTCGCGCGTGCGTGCTCGTGCTCGTGCTCGTGCTCGTGCTCGTGCTCGTGCTCGTGTGCGCGTGCGCGTGCGCGTGCGCGTGCGCGTGCGCGTGCGTGTGCGTGTGCGTGTGCGTGTGCGTGTGCGTGTGCGTTTGCGTGTGTGCGTGTGTGTGTGTGCGTGTGCGTGTGCGTTTGCGTTTGCGTGTGCGTGATCATGCGCGTGCGCGTGCGCGTGCGTGTGCGCGTGCGCGTGTGTTCGCGTGTGTTTGTGCGTGTGTCTGCGTGGCGGGGGGAAGGTACATTCATTGTCAAGAAATGGGCTTGTCCCCCTGGCATACTGCTCCCGCCCAGGGACGACGCCTTGGGCGGCGCTGGCACGGCTTAGACCCTTTGCCCTTCTGAGTGCCGCCTTGGGTTCACGGTGAGCCAGCTCCTTCGTCTCATGTCTTTTGACGCAGGGGCCTGTTTTATTTTTGTGGTGGGTGCGGGTCCTGGGCCAAAGGCTCACCCAATAAACACTTGAAGGCGACATGTCCTGTGCTTTCATGTGGACCTCGTGCTGCAACCAGGGCCCTGTTTAATTTGTTACCGCGTGTGTGCCCCCCCCCAATAAGAGATCGGTAGCCTGGCCGTCACGCCGATTGCGGCTGAGGAGGAAGTCTTGGTTTTCGTGTCGGGGGAGGAAGGGCCTATGTTCAGTGGAGAGCAGGTTTCTGCTCCTGCCTCGGGGGTGTCGCGATCGGTCCGTTCCCGTGTGGGGTTGGCCCTAGTTCTCAGACAGGAGGAGGACGAGCAGCCCTTGCAAAGCGCACGTCTAACTTAATTTTTTGCCCTGGCGGCCAGTCCCTGGCAGTCCTCTGCCCGTCGAGCCTGGGCGTCAGCGATGCACTGCAAAAAGTCGATGCTGGATGTCCGGGCGGCCCTCCCTCGCGCAGGCAATGCCGCGGCCCGCTCGGACCCGGCGGCAGCTGCCAAGGCCGCTACGCACCGCGGGTCGTCGACGCCGCCGCCGACGTTGTCGTCATCGGTCGGTCGGTCGGTCATCGTCTTGGTCGTGGTCATGACCACCATCGTCGTGGTTGTCGTCGTCGCGGTGACCGCCGCCGTCGTCGTCGTCTTGTTTACCGTTTCGTGGCCACGGTCGTGGTGGGCGTCGTGGTTTGGTCGTTATCGTTGTCGTTGTAGTCGTCGTCGCCGCCGTCGTAGTCGTCGCCGTCGCCAGCGTTAGTTGTGCCTTTGCCATGGTCGCCGTCGTCGGTTGTTGTTCCCGTCGTCGACGTGGTCGCTGTCATCGTTACAGGCGTCGTCGTGGTCCCCGTCGCCGTTATCGTCACCGTCGTTGTCGCCGCCGCCGTCGTCGTCTTCGTCGTCGTAGGTGTCGTCGTGTTCGCGGTCGTCTTCGTCGTCGTCGTCGTCGTCGGCCTGGTCGCCATCGTCGTTGCATTCGTAATGGTCGTCGTGGTCGCCGTAGTTGTGGTCGAGGGCGCGGTAGTCGTCGTCGTCACCAGGGAGTAGGACGAGGAAGCAAACACAGGGCGTGGTCGTCCTCGCCAGGGTGGACGCGGCGGCGGTGGAACTGCGCATGGACTCCTTTCGACCCAGAGTCGGGCAGAGCGATCGGGTCGTTGCTCAAAGTCGGGAAGGCTTGGGCCCCAGGCCTAGGGGAGAGGCCCCGACCGAGCATGCTCGGACGTGGGCAAAACGAGGATGAATCCGTTCCAGAACTTTTCGGAACGCTCTCAGAGCGTTCCAGAACGCTCTAAGAAGGCCGCGGCGCCCGATACATCCTCCAGGTCCGCCGAATCTCAGAGATTCTCGATTCATACCTATGCGATGTTATCTTCGTCCTGGCTTCGTCTTGTTAGGGGAGAGGCCCCGACCGAGCATGCCTGGTCAAGCACGCCAAGGGGAGCTGCGAGCTCAGCGGGGGCACTGGGCGCGCCTCACACCTCCTCGGCACCCCGATCGAGGCCGGGCTCCCCTGGGGGCCTGGCCGAAGTGCTGCTTGCATTGCATGCCCCTGAGGTTCAGGAGGGGCAAAGCACTGACACAATTCATCGTCGACTCCCAGAGATATGGGAAAGTATGGGAAGTGTGGGCGAGGCGAAAACCCAGGACAGATGGGAAAATGTAGCGAATCCTGGGATTTGTGTCTACTTGTTTGTGTGTCCCTGGACCCCTTTCGCTATGCTTGATAATTTTCCGTGCGCACACGGATGAAAAGCTTCAGCCGTTAGGAATTCCACATCCTCTGCGGTTTGCAGCACGTGGCGGCTTCTTGGAGCTCGTTGCTTGCCGGCCCGCCTGTGGGATCTCTGGGCGGCGGGTGGGCCGCAAGGAAGGTCCGGATCTTCTCGAGATCGAGACACACGGCTCTCCTCCTCCTCCTCCTCCTCCTCCTCCTCCTCCTCCTCCTCCTCCTCCCCCTCCTCCCCCTTCTCCCCCTCCTCCTCCTCCTCCTCGGCCGAGATACTCTGACGAACTTGCCCTAATCGGCAACGCTGTGGGTGCCCATGGGTCCGGGCCGCCCTCCTCGTGGCCACTCCTGCCTCGCGCGGGGTCGGCGAAGGCATCTCGTACGCCACTCGGCCTCCCTGCGCTGCCGTGCTGGTCCGTCGCAAAAGCCGCGTGCGCCGCCGGAGGTGGCCACGCTGTGGAGCGACGAGGACGGGGGCCTCTGGGCCTGAGGGGATCGCCCGCTGCCCGCCCGCGCTGCTGGAGGTGGCCTCGCCTCCTCCGCCTCATCCGCCTCCGCCTCCTCCGCCTCCCCCTGCTTCGCCTCCTCCAGCTCCTCGCCTCCTCCGGCTCCTCGCCTCCATCTCCGCCGCCTCCTCGTCTCCCCCGCCTCCGCGCCTGAAGGGATCGCCCGCCCGCGCAGGGGGCGGCGGATCTCCCTCGCCTCTGCCGCTGCCTCCGCCGCCCTCCTCGCGGGCACAGTGTTTCGTCAAGCGCACGCCTTGCAACACCTACCGGGCGCTGGCGTCCTGAGTGGACTATTGGGACTCCCGGCCGTCTCTTCGAGGCCATGGCCTCAGCTCGGCCCCTAGGGGGGTCGGGCGACTGCCCGTTTGAACCTTGCGTTCAGTTTTGTTCCTCCACTTCCTCGCCCATCTCAGGGGTGTGGCCTTCCTGGGCGTGGAAGTTTTTTTTGGGGGGGTTCCTGGGCATCTTCCCCGGGCCCCTAAGCCACGTCCGATGCCCCCTCGCGAGAGGTGCCTGGCCACTTCCCTGCCCAGTGTGGTCCCTGGCCCCATGCGCGCCCCCAGGGCCAACAAGAAGAGAAACGATCCGCGACGAACAGCCGGCTCTGGGGATGGGGCCGAAAGCTCCAGCGGCGCACAACTCGGCTACGCGTGATAGTGAACATGCGTTGGAGGGACTGTTGGTGCGGGCGCATGGGCCCCCCCCAGCACTGGCTTGAGTGAGGCTTGAGCGCTTGGATCTGGCCCCCCGTGACCCTCCGGAGCCGCGTACCAAAGGTCACTCCTGCCCAGGGCTATGATAATCCAAACTACTTGAGCCTTGATCACGAGAAAGAACTTCGACCCCCCCGAGAAAGTACCGAAACTCGAGGGCTTTCGCGTGTCGAGCCCTGGGAGACACTCGTCCGACACTGTTTCGACACTTTCCCGGGCGCTCGAAATTATTTCTGGGATGTGGTCCTCAAGTACGACGGGAGCAACATAAGCCCAGGGTCGCTTCTGCGTGCAGCAAGCCGACGCCGACGCCGCCGACGACACCCTCGCCGCCCTCGCCGCCGCCGACGCCGCCGCCGCCGACGACGACGACGACCTGGGCAGCGCAGCAGAGACCACCGCGTCGGAGGTCTGGGCCCCCCGTTCCCTCCGCCCTCGCCCCCCCTCGCTCGCCGCCCTCCCCTGCTGCTCCCCGCCGCCGTGCCCCGCCTCCCACCGCGGGCGGGCTCGCGGGCGGCAGCGGCGGCGCGCGGTGGTGGCAGCCGACCGCTCGGGTGCGCGCGTGAGAGAAAAAGTCGGCGGCGAGAGCCGAAGCCGAACTTGCGGTAGGTTCCCGCGGCGAGGGGTGTTGCCCGGCGCCGCCCCGCTCGGTGACCCGCAGCGGCCGTCGGGCGGGTCGGCTGGGTCCTTGTGCTCTTCTGAGGCGTGGAGTGATCACAGCCACCGCCTGGGGAATCTATCTTCGGGGACCCTGGCAGGCGGTGGAGAAGGACACGTTCGGATCCTGGGGCGTGGCCAAACACATTCATCTTGCCACCGCCTGCCGAGGTGTCCGAAGACCGATCCGCAAGGCGGTGATGATGGGAAGTGCAAGCCTCGCGCCCGTGTTCTGCTCTGGCAAGCGTGATGGCCGCCTGTGCATTTGCATGACATGCTGCGGGTACCAGGTCTGATATGATAGCGGTTGGAACGGAACATCGTCGCGCTCTCGTTCGCCAGTTTGTTCCACATTGAGTCTTGTTGTGCGGCGAGTGGACAGCGTCCCCGATTTTCTGCAAAGAGCGCGCAGTCAAGGATCATGATCTTTAATCAAGGAGTGTGGCGCACGAGTGTCCCGATTCAGTCGCCCGTGCTCCCTTTTTGTCCCCAGCGTGGTCCTCTGGGGGTTGGGGCGGAGCGCAGGGGCCGATTCGGTTGCTCTTGCGTGGCACGGGGCTCGGGAGTCGATCCGATTTTCTTCTTGCCCTGGTGGCCTCGTTGCCCCGGGTGCGGTGCCCTTGTGTGTTGGTTGGGATTCGTTGGTCGATTCGGCTGCGTGTGTGTGTGTGTGTGTGTGTGTGAATGTGTGTGTGTGTGTGTGCGTGTGTGTGCGTGTGTGTGCGTGTGTGTGTGTGTGTGCGTGTGTGTGCGTGTGTGTGCGTGTGTGTGCGTGTGTGTGCGTGTGTGTGCGTGTGTGTGCGTGTGTGTGC